CATCAGCAACTATAGCAACAATGGGATCGAGCTTAATCTGACCAGTAGAGGTAGTGTAGGAGATCTCAGCATTATTGATGAAACCCCTATCATGGATTCTACCATTTCTACAGCAACCACAGCTCTTGGCTTACAGGCCAGGAGAAAAATGACCGAGACCAAGTGGATGGAACAAATCAAGCTAGAAAAGTTAAAACAAATCAATGGAGTGCTTCCAAGACTGAACCCCATGCCATCTTCCAAAGCCCCAGCATTGCCTTCTCTCATAAGAAATGGTAAGATGTGTCAATTTAATATAATTATTTGAATGTATCACCTGAGTGTTTAAGAGTTCATTCTTCAAAACAAGAAAATAAAAATAATATAATTGAACTGAGCACTGAAGAAAGTTCTCCATTCTCCAATGTTGGTGGAGAGAGCTGTCATGCATGGGTTAACTGAGTCAGTAACCAATAGAACTGAGTCTACCAAAGTGATGTCATCGCCTCTGAGGAGCATGCTCCTTTTTTAGACTCTGTTCGATTGGAACTGGCTGTGCTAATCGCTTTTTCCTCAACTAATACTTAATAATTGACTATTCTAATTGGATTTAATTGACTTTTACTCAAAGAATTTTTTTTTACCTTCTAAATTGGAAACTGAGAATAAACTCCTACTGGATCTTTGGAGGCAGGACTCTCAATAGCCTCTGGGTGGCTGGAGAGACATTGCCAGGGCTTGTTTGAGCTTTTGCCTCCGAATTGCATACGGGCTTCTGAGGCTCCCTGACTAACAGTGCAGGTTGCAATAACCATTGGAGGCTCCGCTTAGCGCCGTTGCCTCTGCTGACTTCCCTGGGCTCTGACTTGCCACCGGCACCGCTGACGGCCGCCACCTCCAGAAGCCTTCGGATGCCACAGGGAGCCTCGAAAAGCCACCACCGCTGGGAAGCGCTGCCGCTGCACCTTGTCACTGTTCCTCCAATGTTCCCGCTATCGCTGGACCACCATGGCTTCGCCCTTGGCTCCGCAGCCTTGCCACAGGGCCTCAAATGCCCACGCTCACCTTGTGGCCTTGGCTACCTCGTGGCACTGGCCCATAGGCTCTGTAGCCTCAGCGGCCATGTTGTTTGGGCACAAAAATATCTGGTGGCCATTTTAAGTGTCCTCGAGCCGTGAGTACAGCTATGGCCTCTTTTCCTAATCCTGAGCCTTAGTTTCCTTGGCCTCTGCTCCCACCACCGAACCCCCTTCATCTCGGGTCCACAGGCGCAGGCCTGCTCCTGAAGATAACCTCACTGAGCCCCCTTCCAGGAACCCCAGGCCTAGTCAGGGGGGCATAGATGATCCATCCCCTCGGGACGATGACAGGGCCTCTCAGGTCCCTACTAAGAAGGCCAGGGCCAAGACCAAGCACACTGAATCTCACATATTTCAGGCTCAGAAGTCTGTTCACTCCAGTCCCCCTCCTGACTTATCTTCGGATTCGGAGGATGACCTCTCCCCTGCTGCCTCAATTCTTCAGCCTGAGGATGTCAGGGGCACAGATGATTTGGCCAACAGTGGGGATGATTCGGATTGTGGCAGGAGCATTACCCCTGATGAGTATCCCCTCTACCAGGAAGATATTTCTCCCTCTCTCCGCTGATGCCGTTCTTACTCACCGGGCAGGGCTGATAGGATCTCTGAGGCCATTGAATGTGGTGTGGCGGCTGGCCTTAAACACAGGTCTTCTAACTGTTCTGCTTCTCGCAGGTCTGCTTCTTCCTCTAGTTCCAGGGATGGCGATCTCTCGGCTTCATCGTCGCATGAGCTACCAGGCACTTCCAGTCAACCGTCGGTTTTCAGAGAAGAGGAACGCCCTGCAAGAGATTCAGATCTCTCAGATGATGAGGGTCTTCCTTCCGACCCACCTCCTTTTGTCCGTTTATTTAAACCTGCTGTTTTTCGATCTCTCCTTTTTAAGGCCAAAAAGATCGCAGGCATTCCTTCTCCCAAAATGACTCAGAGTTCAGAAGCAGACAAGGATGACACCACTGATCCGCTCTTCATCCAGCCTATGGTAGAAAAGGAGGTGATTCACTCCCCCAGGCTTTTCATAGACATTGTCCAGAATCAATGGGCTTCACCATGTATTGGTCCCCTCCCCAATACCTCGGACAAGCACCTGTATAATGTCGCTCCTGACCTCGCCAAAGCTTTGGAAGTACCTTCTAGTGACTTACCTATAATTGGCCTTTCCTCTCCTAATGCGGCCTCAGCAGCTCCTGAGGAGGATCTGCAACCTGAAGACAAGAGGATGGAACAAACAGGCTTCAGCTTGGGCTGTTAGAGCGGGTACTTCTGCTTCCTTCTTTAGTCGCTCCGCTCTTTTATGGTTGAGACATCTTAAAGCTCGCCTTCCAGCCAGAGATTCTAGGGCTTGCAGGGACATTAACAAAATTAAAGCAGCCCTAGAATACACAGCAGATGCCTCCTTGGACGTGGCCCATTTTGCATCCAAAGCTATTGCATCCTCCATCTCCACCTGCCGGCTCCTTTGGCTAAAACAGTGGCAGGCAGAAGTGCGTGCCAAGTGGAGACTTGCCTCCTCTCCCTATTCTTCCTCCCTTCTCTTTGGTCCTCCATTAGAGCCCCTACTGGTAGAGTCCAAGGATAAGCGGAAGGTTCTGCAACCAGCCACTAAAAAGCAGGAAGGTTGGAACCAGACTTTTTACTGCAGGTAGCCCTTTCGTGGCCAGGGAGTGTCTCCAACTCCCGTCCACAATGGTAGGCCCCACCCAGACAGGCCCCTTCCTTTTCTAACAGATCAGGCAGAAACAACCAGAGATTCCAGCCCAGAAAGCCTTTCAGGGACAATTCCAGAAGTGACTGCCTGGAGGATCTCCCAATAGGGGGGCATCTGGCGGCCTTCATGGATCGTTGGGACAACATCACCAATGATGCATGGGTCAGGTCCACAATCAGATTCACCCTCCTCCTGGACTTGCACTCCAACCCTCCGAACCACTTTGTCATGTCCGATCTCCAGGCTCCTGGTAGAGCAGGCCATTCATCATCTGCTTCAGATTCGGGCCATTCAACCTGTGCCTCCAGGCCAGGTAGGACAAGGGTTTTATTCTCGTCTTTTTATCGTGCCAAAGCCTTCGGGAGGCTGGAGGACAATCCTCGATCTCAATTTTTTAAATCAATTCATCAGATACAGGAGGTTCAAAAAGCACTCTCTCCTATCAATTCTGGAGAGTGTGCACAGAGACGATCTCCTAACATCAGTGGACCTCACGGAGGCTTACCTCCACATGCCAATTCACAGGTGACACAGACGGTTCCTCCGCTTTGTCCATGCGGGTTGCCACTTCCAATATCGGGCCCTTCCCTTCGGGCTGTTGTCAGCACCGAGGGTTTTCACGAAACTTCTGTTGGTTGTAGCAGCCCAAAGTGTTACAGGAAGTGGGGTTCTCCATCAATCGGGAGAAAAGTTACTTCATCCCCACCTCTCGCCTGGTGCACTTGGGAGCCCTCATTGATTCCTCTCAGGGGAAAGTCTTTCTGTCTCAGGATTGCCAGAGAAGTCTCAGGGAGTTAGCTAAGGAGGCGCAAAGGAGACAGCAGGTCTCTTGCTTTTCCATTGTCCCTTAGGCACGGCTTCAGAGCTGCTGCCTTCAGTGGTTTCTTCTGCCATTCCAGAAGAACAACATCAGTGTTCCCCAGTGAAGGTCAGCTTGACTCCAGAGGTCCTGCTATCTCTGAACTGGTGGATCTCCCTGGCCATAGCTCAGGGCTCCCTCTTCAGGGAATCTCCACATCTCATAGTTACGACAGACGTGAGTTTGACAGATTGGGAAGCTCACCTGGAGGTTCAGGTAGCTCAGGCTTTCTGGTCCGATTCCGACCTATCCCACAGTATGAATTGGCTAGAGTTGAGGGCCATCCATCTGCCCTCCTTCATTTCCAGACCTCTCTTCAAAACACACATGTGCTGATCCGGATGGAGAACACTACGGTCAAGGCGCATGTCAACCGCCAGGTGGGACGAGAGCGGTATCTCTCATGGAATCTGCCTTTCGCCTAGGAATCTGGGCAGAAACCAACCTTCTCTCTCTCCATGCCGAACACATCTAGGGGTCAGACAACATCAGGGCAGACTGGTTGAGCAGGTGGCCTCGCAGTCTCCTATACCCCTTCCCTCCCTTCCCCCTGATACAAAGGGTGATTCGGAAAATAATAGAAGAGACCGAGCTCATTCTAATCGCTCCCCATTGGCCGCGTCGACCATGGTATGCAGACCTGGTCAATCTTTCCATGGAACCTCAGTGGCGTCTACCAATGATACTGTTTATCAGGGCTCCATTCACCATCCCGACCTGCGCTGGATCTGCCTAACCTCTTGGAGGCTGAGCGGGCTGTCTTGAGGACGGCTAACCTTTCCGAGACAGTAATCCATACTATTCAGGCCTCCTGTCACCCAGCCACTAATAGAATCTACGAATCTATTTGGCAGACCTTCATGGCTTGGTGCCTGTCTTGAGGGAAGGACGCTCTGAAGTCTTCGGTATCCCAGCTTTTGGAATTCTTGCAACAGGGGCTTGATAAGGGACTCTTCCCAAAAACCTTACAGTGGCAGGTGTCGGCTCTCTCCTCAGTTCTATTTAACATATACATGAAACCGCTGGGCGAGATCATTCGGAGGCACGGGATAAAATACCATCAATANCTACCATAGGAAATAAAAGAGGAGCGAAAGGGGAGTGGGCTTTTGCAGGAAACAATTTGTTCATTCGGTCATTAGATTAGTTTCAGGAATGTGAAGATCTCTGAGTGAATCTCAGAGACTCTGTGCCCAGTCTTTCCTTGCATAGCACCTCATTTGGAAAATATTTATATGGCAGCTTTCCAAAATAGATAAGGTCTGGAGTCATAAATATTCCTTTGAAAGACTGGTTGCCAGGCCTTGCTGAATGTGAATGAGAGGAATTCACATTCATTTAATAAAAGGGGTTTTGTCAGTATCAGGACTCAGTCTTGTGCTTTTTCGGAAAGCCTAGGTCAGAACAGTAAGGAAGAAATCTCATATGGCTACAGAAGTCGGTTCACATTACCACACATCCCTTCTGATTGTGGGTCCACACTGGTTCAGGGACTAAGTTAAGGGAAAGGGCATGGATCAAGAGATCCTTTCATAGTGCTGAGTTCTCTAGTCACCAAGGCTAGGAAAGGTATTTCAAAAGTGTACAAAAATGGACACTGCAATATGTATTAGAGATCCATTAGTTCAAAATCCATGCCTATTTCTTTCTTAAACTCTTGTTGATTAATCCAGTTGATCAAAGGATCCATGGAATGTGGTACATTGTGCTACCTGCACGTGAAATTCAGAGATGATGCAAAAAGAAACTGTAGGAAAAAAATTATCAATTTTGTTTTTTAAAAAAGGAGATCAGATGCAGAACGAATCCAGAACTCAATTATAAGTTCTTATAATTCTTTGGTTTTCTATAAATGCAGAAAAAACAACTATAGTGTATAACTTACCAAGTCAAATGAGTGGCATCTGCTATTAATTGTAATCTGCTGACAGAAGGAATAACCTGCAAAGATACCCATGTATTATAGTTTATTTAAAACTGTTATCTTCAACTCTTTATACAGTAGTAGTTCAAAGTATCTGCAATATTTCAGATCCCTAAAACATTTATTATATGGATCTGCAATTCAATGTGAATTTTTAAAAAAAATATACGACAGGTTCCAATTTGAAATTGTAATATTGCTAGTCATTCACAAATATCTCCTAAACTTTATCAATTGATGGACTCTCTAAATTACATACATGCACAAAGAATATAGGCTACCCATTTCCTCATTCCTTATGATAAACATGCCAGACTACTGAGACCTTGACATGCCTGCTGGAACAATGTAATTAAAATAGGTGTATTAAACCCATCGTATATTTGTATGTTTTTTCCTGATTCTTTTCTGTTTCCTTCCTCCCATAGACATGTAGGAAGCCAAATCCATGGTTATATAAAACAATATACTAGTTTCATTCATGTCCTCAATCCCTAAATTATATTCAGTGATCTTTATCAGGACTACATACTTCTGAACTTTCCTTTCACTTAAGACATTTTGGAAGAGATTATATTCTTTATTGCCTTTTAGAATATAGATTTAATACATACCAAAAGTTGACATTTTTGTGTCGGAATGGAGACTAAGAATAAAATGGATACCTTAAACCTTGCAAATGTTTGAGTTCTTTGACTGCTAAAATTCCCAGACATTCCAAGAATTATCCCTAGGCTCATCTACTTTAGAAATATGGCTTTCTCTATAACCAGAATCAGCCAATACTAGATACCAAAATTGGAAAGGACCTTGCAGGTCTTCTAGTCCAACCCCCTACTCAAGCAAGAGACCCTATTCTTATTCAGACAAGTGGTTGTCCAATTACTTTTTTAAAACCTCCAGTTATGGATGAAACACCATGAAGGAAAATCATGATCTAATGTGCCTTGAGAAAATGCTGTACTGTAGAATAACATAATCATTCTTATAATAATCATCTACATACCGGTACTCATGATTAAAAACTGTCATACCTTTGGATCATCTTCAAGCACTTTGGCCAATTTTCTACAATAGTTTTGATCATAGTTGATTCTATAGTAAGCACTTATATTCACATTTAAAACAATCCAATCTTGTACTGAATCTGATATTTTCATTTCAGGAAATATTTCTGTAAGCACATGAAAGGAAGAAAACTTATATATATTTTTAATACTGCCCTTCTAAAAATGTATGTCTGCTCAATAATAGCATGTTGCATAATTTCTAATATAAGAAAAAGAAGCAAATAGACCGAGTGCATCTTATCACATTGCCCACACATGTACTGTATAGTTCTCAAAATCATAACATTGATGAAAGTCATTGGTAGGATTTTTTTAATAAACATATCACATTAAAATATTTGGATCTGTTTAGAGTATTGGAATTCTTTTTCCATCTTTTGAAAGATGTAAAAGTGTAATAAATGGATTGCTTTATTGCAGCATCCATTTCCCCATTTTCCCTTTTCCTAGCCAAAGATAGTAGAATTGGCTTTTGGTAAGAGAAGGACAGAACGGGAACAGTTCCTTGTTTGTACCAACACCATAGGACAGAGATTCACTATATCTGTCCTAAACTAAGCTTTACTCTCTTAAAATGCCTTTCTAATAGCAATAGCACTTAGACTTATACATCACTTTACAGTGCTTTACAGTCCTCTCTAAGCGATTTACAGAGTCAGCATATTGTCTTCAACAATCTGGGTCCTCATTTTACCCACCTCAGAGGGATGGAAGGCTGACTTGATCTTGAGCCTGGTGGGATTTAACTGCCAAACTGCTTGCAGCCGGTGATCAGCAGAAGTAGCCTACAGTTCTGCACTCTAACCATTGCGCCACCGCAGCTCAGTTGCCAATTTAATAACCAATTTAATTCTCTTTTCAGTTGCTTTCCAGTTTCTTTTCTCCCAGGAGTCTCAAACTCTTGTTGCCATTCTCAAACATGCCCATATTGTTCATTATTCCTTCCCTCCCTGTCCCCGCCCGCCTCCCCACCTCCCCAATTCTTCTGTTAAAGAACCTGTGTGGAAAGCAGAGGAAAGCACAATAACTCATGATCGATATTTTGGCTGTAATTTGCTTTTTTCAAAAGTTCAGAATCATATATTCCAGACAGTAAAGACTTTATTAAATTTAGGAAAACATACTTACTATTACGTTTATCAAGCCATACTAAAGGTTGTATGGTTCCATTTCGCATCCAAGAAATAGGAATAATCCATGTGCTATTTAATAAAAATAACAATTGATCATTAATCCATAAACCAAAGTAAAATACCAATCAAATGCTATTACATAAATTAAGAAAAAAAATTCTGAGAAAAAAACTCTCCGGGGGGGGGGGGGATTTTATAGTTCAAATGTGCAATGCAATTTCTGTTTATACCTAAAAGCTGCATAACTCACACATTGTGCACATTGTGAACTGGAACTTTTGTGTGTACTTGAATTCAATGGATTTCATCTACATTTAAGCCTAATATAATGTAAATACATATGCATGAGGCTTTCTTACCTTTAGTAAGATAATATCTATAAGTGTATAAGAAACCTTCACTTTCTATACCTGACAATTGAACAAGCAATTATATTCATAGATTTCTCTTTTCAAAAGTTTATTTACTAAATCATACTCCTTGTATGGAAATAAATAGTCCTGATTCAACAGAACCTGTTCTCGTGGAACAGGCCCATTACAAAGATAAGAAAGTTCTACTATGTAATTTTAACTCTTGTTCAGATGAGTACATGCTGCATTCCAATGACACAGCTGAGACAAATCTATTAATGGCAGCTTTTTCCAGGTTTCAACCTAACAACGTAAGCTGCTTTATATTTCCGTAGTGTGTGTTTAAAAATGTATATTTTCAGCTAGAATATTAGAAAGCTTCTTTTGTAACTTCCTTAAGGCCATCTAGTATAGTCAATGACTGATATTTGATTTCATTCTCATATAAATATTTACACATTCAATACAAGCTGCTGAAAATAAGGACTGTGGCAGTAATACACATTCCAGAACATGACCTGACAGCTGAAGTATATTTACTCTTACATTTTTGTTTAAAAATGGTATTATAGACACTATTAGCCTCAGATTAAGTCCTGGCTCTTAATTCCATTGTTTACTTTATTTCTAATTCACATTCTTTCTAACAACTTAATACAGATTAAAGCATAATGAATCAATTGAGTTTGGCTGATTCTCAAATTTATGGTTTGTACAATTTAAAAAATCAGCTGAATGGCCAAATCCCATATTCCTGCTCAGATGCAATATAAGATTCATATTGGCATTTATAAGTAATGTCTGAGAAACAAATTTCCAACTTTGTTTCTGAGGGTAAGCACAAATCACAGTTTGCAGATTTGGGAGTTGCAGAAAATAACAAGTTATGTTCAAAAAAAATAGTTTGTATTGGGAAAGTGTGCCAACTGAACTTATTTCTATTGTTGAAAATCTGCAGATCATATATTTTTAAAAAATCACACAAAACTTATTACAATCATCTGTATTTACATATGGTTTACCACACAGTTCTAGCTGATTTATTAATTTTGACTACTGGATCTTTCCTAAGGATCTGCACACACACACACACAACCTGTGCACACTGTTTCAAGTAATGCAACCTTTGTAACTGATGAGAATTGAGATTCTATCCATTCCTATTTTGTTCAAAAAAATTTCCAATTTTTTTGGAATGGCACCAGACACATCAACTAGTATTTGCGCCCTATTTTTACACATTCACTCAATCCCTATTTAAAGTTTTTACATTGGTCTTATTATTACTTTAAAAAAAACACGTACTCTGAGTTGTGTTCTCCTTTTTCAGCAAAAACTGGTATCTGGCTAATATTGCCAGTTGAGAAATCTACTGTCAGGAGTGGGTAGCCCTTCTGGCAGGTCCAAGAATCCATTATTGTTTTTACTGATGTTGGCAACTGGAAGTCATTTTGTTCATCTATTACCTTCCAAAAAATGTTCAGAATTAAAATATAGTTTTTATGTTGAATACATATATAGAAAATTTCAAGAAACATGAATCATTCAGATCCCAGCAGTTTTGAGATCAAGTCCATGTTGTAAATCAATTTTCCTCAACCATGTCTCCTGCAATATGAAAGCAGTGAGAGTGTTGAAATAGATGCTGAATCAATGGCTGTGAGTTGGACTTTGGTCAAAGAAAGCACCCTTAAGCAAAAATCTCCTTAGATACTGGTAGAGATTCAGACTTTCTGCAGAACTGCAACATCAACAAGATACTGATGGAAAATTGATAAAAGGCTAATCTCCATATTAGAAGATCAACACTTTGATCTTCAAAAAAGGAACATAATCTTGATAAGGTAATCTAAATCAGCTCAATAGATTATCAGAGGATAGTTGATTATTGGAACTATCCAAGGTACTGAAATTTCATTATGACTCAGATGTCTATATTGTTTAATAAAAAGCCAAGCTCTGTGTTAATTGTAATGCATAGTTACAAAGGCATATTCTTCATTTGGTACCAGTCAAATGAACTGGCACCAATTTATTAGTGGAACAGATAGGTATATAAAAGGGTATATTTGGCTGCAATGCAGCCAAATTATATGCTTCAGTATGACTGTATTCCTTTAATGTGGGGCTAAGTTCTATACTTAGTTGCAGAAACTCATTGGGTGATGTAGCACCTTCTGTCTACTCAGGCTACAACATAAGGTTGATATTGTTAGGACAGATATTTGGAAAAGGATTCTGACACTTGAAAAGCAGGATACAAATCAGTTAAACATGAATAAACTAATGGAATATTTATGTAACTCAGTTTAAAGTTACTATGTTTAACCTGTGTTTCAGATTAAAGTTGTTCCTTGTAGTCACTATACAAAAATACTATTATAGTTACTAACCACTAATCAGAAACAAGGATTAATCCAATGACAAACCACTCTCAGACACTATCCAAGCTCTATAAATTTTCAGTCATTGTTGTGCAGGTCAAAGGTATATTTATGCTCTACTAAATACTTTAACTCTTCCATTTACAACATTATACAGCTTATGAAAACTGTATGTATTTTCCTATCTGTTACACCTACAAAATGAGGAGTCCTTGGTGATCTCTGAGCTTGATTGCTTTCTTGTGATGATACACTGATAATGTTACTTAGTTTGAGTAATGAAATGTCTGCAACAAAACAACCAAGCTCAGAGACTACCAAGCAATCCATCATTTTAACCCCTAGCTACAAATATTCTCCTTTATTGCTACACCAACATAAGAAATCCTAGAAAAATGATTGAGGATTTTTGTGAGTCTCAAAGCTTAAAAACAGGTTTCCATGTTATTGTTCACATCCAATACAATAGAAACACTCCAAGTGCTAATATGTGTGAAATATTAAGGCTGGGAGAGCAAAACATGGATAAAGTCAGTATAATTTGCTCCAGTCCCCATACTAACCCAACAATGAATACATGGCACTGCCCATCATAAGGAGGAACATAAATCTTACTGCCACACAACAGACATGTGTTTCTTACTCTTACAAAAGGGACAATTTTAACAAGAAGCTAAATGGAAACTAGAATTAATACAATCTGAGAGGTAGTATATAAAAGTCAGAGAAAATTAAGCTTGAAGGACCATTTTTCTAAAATTCATCTGGGACTTAGAAGATGAAGAAATAGCTAAGAAGGAAATCCAGAAACTTTTGCTTTCTACAAAGCCCTACTAAAATCAGTCATAATCTCCCCCTCCCCTCATGGGGGGGGGGCGTTGAGTCTGGATAATGTGATTATCAATAATGAGCCAATGTTGACTCTTAGAGTCACAGGTTTCCTCTGTGGGACTAAACTTTTCATTACATCCTGACAAAATTAACTTCCCCAGATATTATTAAGGTACTTCTAATTTTATCCAATACCATTTTTGTCCTATCCAAGTTAGGTAGCAAAAGTTATGTATCTATTTTCAGTCACATGGGCATAGCAACAAATATCTGGTGCAAATGAGCATTTTACTTCCTATAGGTATTTTATCTCCTATATCTTAAGTTATAGAAGAAATCTGCCACAGAGTTGATATGTACTTCATACATTTTTTATAATGTACTTTTGCTTTCTGGATGGAGTACATGGCTGCCTACAGAAGGTGGGGATTATTCCAAAGAGAAACAAATGTGTTAATATATACAAATACTCACAAACTTGTTTAAAGTTAGGTATACATTAATTGCCATTAAAAAGACCACAAACAACAACTGTCCAGACATTAGGCCAGATCTGAAAACCAAGGGATTCAAGGACAATTGTCAGCAAAAATTGGTGATGCTGACTTCAGAGAATAGAGCACCCAATGGTCATGACTGAAGTTTATACCCCTTTTACTTACAGCTAACAATTCCCAATTTATTAAAATCAAAAGTCTAGCAAATGCATTATAAATTTAACCACCTTTTGAATGTGAGTCCACAGATCATCTTGGACAGCATTGGAAAAGGAAAATGCATTCAGATATGACTGTAGTAAAACAAGAATATGAGTATTGGTTAGTTTGTAAATTTTCAATATAATGTAATGTATTATAAGGTATTTATAATATTTTCTAAACTTACATTCAATGCTTTGAAAAATAATCTTTCAGTTATAAAGTTGGAAAGCATCCGGATGACAACAGCCCCCTAAAATAGACATACAGAGAAGAAAGATTAATAAATTTAGGAAGATGTTTATTTCCATTACATTCAGAATATTTTAAATACATACACTGAATGAAAATGGTATGTATTAAATTCAAAATTGTTTCACTTTCATACAGATTATGAGATCTGATAAGATGGGTCCCCCACTTGTGGGCCACAGCCCACTACCGGGCCATGGGCTAATTGCCACCGGGCCATGTGAATGGCTGGCCAGTGCATATGCCATTTCGTCCACGCACATCTCCACTCATGCAAACGTCATGAGCGCCCACAGCCCAATTCTCCTGAGTCTCATTACGGATGTTCATGGCCCACTTGTGCAAGTCTCATCATGAACGCTCGCAGCCCCACTCGCGCACACGTCACCATGACTGACATGAGCACTTTCATGTGCATGTGCACATGCATTTGTCCCTCCCACAAAATAATCCCCTCTCTCCCCCCCCGGGCCACCAACCCAGAAAGGTTGGGGAACTCTGTCTTATAACATCGAGAGAATAATTTATTTTCTCATGCACTATAAAAATATTCTTCAATCACATCTATTTATGAATCATATATGAAATTTACAATAATATATGATTTACCTTATGGTAAGTGATTGTATTGAACTGTTCTAATATTGAATCTGTTTGACGGGTTTCTGTATTTGATAGAGACTGATTTAATCTTGGATTATCTTTAGCCAACGTAGGTAGTGTAAGATGCTCGCCAATGAGTTTATCCTGCAAATAAACATAAAATGTTAATTTTACTCATGCAAACCCAAATTTACAATTCTATGGTAATATTTATAAATGTATTTACTTCTTTCCGCATTCCTTTCTAACATCATTAATCTTGTTCATATCAAACTCAAAAAAACTTGCTTAAACTGAAAATCTACACAGAAAGGAAGTTTAAATGTTAATTCTATCTATCTCAATCAATCCACTTATTCACTGATGCTATTACAGGTAAAGGTAGAGGTTCCCCTCGCATGCATGTGCTAGTCATTCCTGACTCTAGGGGCAGTGCTTATCTCTGTTTCAAAGCGGAAGAGCCAGTATTGACTTAAGATTTCTCCGTGGTCATGTGGCCAGCATGACTAAACGCCAAAGGCACACAAAATGCTGTTACCTTCCCACCAAAGGTGGTTCCTATTTTTTCTACTTGCATTTTTACATGCTTTCGAACTGCTAGGTTGGCAGAAGCTGGGATAAGTAATGAGAACTCACTCCATTATGCGGCGCTAGGTATTTGAACCACAGAACTGCAGAGCTTTCTTATCAACAAGCTCAGCTTATCAGTTCTTATCAACAGCACGGAAACCGCTTTGGTCGCATTGACTGATGATCTCTGGAGAGCCAGAGATGGAGGATATTCCTCCATCCTGGTTCTCCTTGACCTCTCAGCGGCTTTCGATACCATCGACCATGGTATCCTTCTGCGACGACTGCGGGAGGTGGGAGTGGGAGGCACCGTGTTGCGGTGGTTCTCCTCCTACCTCTCGGACAGGTCGCAGTCGGTGTTAGTGGGGGGGCAGAGATCGTCCCCTAGGCCCCTAACATATGGGGTGCCTCAGGGCTCGGTCTTATCCCCCCTACTATTCAACATCTACATGAAACCGCTGGGACAGATCATCCGTAGGCACGGGATCAGATACCATCAATATGCGGACGATACCCAGTTGTATCTGTCCGCCCCGTGCCACCTCAATGAAGCGGCAGACGTGATGAACCAAGGCCTTGAGGCCGTTATGGACTGGATGAGGGTTAACAAGCTTGTGCTCAACCCAGAAAAGACCGAGTGGCTGTTGTGTTTCCCTCCCAAAGATCCGACCAATATTCCATCACTCAGGCTGGGGGGTCAAATTTTATACCCCTCAGAGAGGGTTCGCAACTTGGGAGTCCTCCTAGATCCACAGCTATCGTTTGACCACCACCTGACGGCTGTGACTAGGGGGGCATTCGCCCAGGTTCGCCTGGTGCGCCAGTTGCGACCCTACCTGAACCTGGAGGCACTCACAACAGTCACTCGGGCCCTTGTGACCTCTAGGCTGGAATACTGCAATGTGCTCTACATGGGGCTGCCCTTGAAGAGCATCCGGCGACTTCAGCTAGTACAGAATGCGGCCGCGCGAGCGATTGTGGGTGCACCTCGGTTCACCCACATAACACCTATCCTCCGCGAGCTGCGCTGGCTACCTGTCGATCTCCGGATGCGCTTCAAGGTGCTATTAGTCACCCATAAAGCCCTGCATGGTAGTGGATCCGGATACTTGAGAGACCGCCTCCTGCCAATTACCTCCCTGCGACCAATTAGATCTCACCGATTGGGCCTCCTCCGTATTCCATCGGCCAGCCAATGCCGGCTGGCAACTACAAGGAGGAGGGCCTTCTCGGTAGTAGCCCCGACCCTTTGGAACGAACTCCCTGTGGAGATTCGTACCCTCACCACCGTCCAGGCCTTCCGCACAGCCTTGAAGAACTGGCTAGCCCGTCAGGCCTGGGGACAAGGATAGTTGCCCCTCCCGAATGATGAATGTATGTTGCTTATTACTTTTATTATATGTGTCTATGTCATTGTTGTATTTCCCTTCCCTGATTTTATGTGAGCCGCCCTGAGTCCCCTCAGGGAAAAGGGCGGCCTACAAATGTTAATAAAATCAAATCAAATCAAATCAGCGTCTTAGCTACTGAGCCACCATGTCCCAAACCTATTATACAATCTAGTAAAGACTTCATATTCACCTGTAATAAGAAGCATACATTAGTTCTAAACTATTAAGTGCCGCTTTACAGCACTTAATAAATAGCAGTGTATACAGAAAGGATATGTGTGATTTAAGACAAGGAGGAATAGGAAAACAGCATGACTATAAATTACTCAATAAGCAATCAATTATGGTACTTGATGCAAAAATGCATGTGCAAATTGGTAAAGTTTACAAAACTAGATTAGGCATAGTAAGCTTATATTTGAATTGTACCAGGCTGCAGATAAGGTCGCACATAACACTAGCAACTCACCAAGGACAGAAGCAGGGAGACAAAACTCATACTTACAGAATTATAAAGTTGGAAGGAAATTAATCCAATTTTCTGATCAATATAGATTTCAATGATGACCATCCAGCTGCTATTTGAAAACTTCTCATGAGGAAGAATTTATCATTTCATATCATAGTAAATAAAGTAGCCTGAATACCAAGATCTCTCCAAGCTTAGAGCCTCTATTACATAGTTTTCCTTAACTTAAAAGCACTTAAAAGTAAAAACAGAGTTTGAATGAAAGATACACAGGAAAGGTTGGTTTAATTTACACTTACCAGTGGCATAATATGTTCAATGTAGTTTAGACCTAGATGTCCAAAGTAAGTTGCAAATCCCTCATTAAGCCATAGGTCGTTCCACCAATCCATGGTAACTAGGTTTCCAAACCACTTAAAATAGGAAAGGAGCGGGGGAGAGTGTTTAAATGAATTCTTTCAATTGCTGTTCTCATTCATCTGGCAAGAGAGCAGTTCACGATTTTACTTAATGGGCACAATGTGTCACAAAGGAGTGCAATATCTATAGGTTGATAGAAGTTTTAGAAAATACATTAAATATGCCACAAGGATTAAAATAGGGAGTTAAAGGAAAAGAAACTAGGTTTTTATTATATAATCCAATGTAACTATTTTAAAGGGTCCCATAAATGCAAAACTAGGGTGTCAATGAATATGCTCATTTTCTGTAATGTAATTATCAGTTTCTAAACCATGACTGACAAGATAAATTTAATTACAGTCAGGGCAAAAATTGCTTCCCCATCTTCCCCAAACTGCTATTCCAAGTCTCCTTTTTAGGGCCCTGTAATCTGTTAATTCGGGGTAGAATCAGGTGACGGGATGGAGCTGAGCATTTCCTGACACCACATGATGCTCTCAGCACATTTTTTTTCTTTGCTACTGAGGATTGAACTGTCAACCTTCTGGATAGAAGGCAAGTGACGTCACCATTAGGCCACCACGCCACTCAAGTTGCTGTTTCTATAATCCTACATAAAGCTCTTCAAATGCTACTCCAGGTGTTGTTGTTTTTTTTGTGTGTGTGTGTTTGTGTACACACACACACACACACACACTAACAGAACTCAAGGAATAAATCCTGTATTTAATTTTATCCAAGATCTTGTTTGCTTAATTTGAAAGAACTTGAAATCATTTTGGTTTTTATATAATAGTAAGATTAGAATTTATATATTAATTGTTTTTTTAGTGTCTTGAAGAAAGACACTAATTTCTTAAGATTGAAGACTTAATTTCCATATGGTAATGTTTCATTCTTTTGGTCCTACAAAAGCAGTGGTGATCTGTTTCATATATCATTCAATTATATAGCTTTTTAAAAATCAGATTCATTTTAGTACCCTGTACTTGCTACAGCTTCTTAATGAGTTTGGGATGAAGAAGTCACCAAAGAAACAAAGACTCCAACCACTTTTCTAATGATTGTTGCTTACATACTAACTTTCTGTACTTCACAGACAGCAAAATTTTGTTTACTATAATTTACCACATATCAATGATCCTTTTCCAGGGAACAATAAAGAATGTCAAAATTATCTCACTGAAAATACCAGACTAATTCATTTGGTGTATCTGTATCAAGACAATACATTGCTAGTAGTTTCATTAATTCTATGCAATAATAATCCTGCGCATGTATTTTTCAATTATTTACTGAATTGAATTGAATTTTATTATTTGTATGCCACCCTTCTCCGGGAGGGACTCAGGGCGGCGAACAACTCAAAAGGGGAAAAGGGGAACATAGAACACAATACAAGTAGTTAAAATAGCCAAGAATCACACAACCACACAGGTCGAGAGGGGAGGGGAACTCATCAAACCCAGGCCTGCCGGCAAAGCCAGGTTTTGAAGGCTTTTCGGAAGGTCTGGAGAGAGGTGAGGGTCCGAATCTCTGCGGGGAGTTCATTCCAGAGGGCCGGAGCTGCCACAGAGAAGGCCCTCCCCCGGGTAGTAGCCAGGTGGCATTGGCTGGTAGACGGAACCCGGAGGAGGCCAACCCTGTGTGATCTAATGGGTCTTTGGGAGGTAATTGGCAGCAGGCGGTCTCTCAAGTACCCAGGTCCAATACCATGAAGGGCTTTATAAGTTACGACTAGCACTTTGAAGCGTATCCGGAGACTGATGAGTAGCCAGTGCAGCTCGCAGAGGATAGGTGTAACGTGGGTGTACTGAGGTACACCCACAATCGCTCACGCGGCTGCGTTCTGGACGAGTTGAAGCCTCCGAATACTCTTCAAGGGCTGCCCCATGTAGAGCGCATTGCAGTAGTCCAGTCTTGAGGTCACGAGGGCATGAGTGACTGTTGCGAGTGCCTCCCAGTTCAGGTAGGGACGCAACTGGTGCACCAGGCAAACCTGGGTAAATGCCCCCCTGGTGACAGCCGACAAATGGTGTTCTAAGGTCAGCTGTGGGTCCAGGAGGACTCCCAAGTTGCGAGCCCTGTCTGAGGGGAGTAAATTTTCACCCCCCAGCCTGAGTGATGGGATATCAACCAAATTCTTGGGAGGGAAACACAACAGCCACTCGGTCTTGTCTGGATTGAGCACAAGCTTGTTAAACCCCATCCAGACCCTGACAGCCTCCAGGCACTGGTACATCATGTCAACCGCTTCACTGAGTTGGCACGGGGCGGACAGACAATCAGGTTTAAATTATTTCTTTTATTTTAGTTTTATATTATTATTTTGAAGGTTAATATTATATTTCTTTCTTTTCTGGCCTCTAATTTAATATACTTTGAACCTTCATTGTATGATACATAATAGGTAATACAATTTATTATGAGGCTGTTAATACAAGCAAATATTTTTAAAGCTAGCTTTGAAACTGCTTCTCTCATTCTTGTAGAATTCTTCTCTACTTCAAGCATAATGTTTGTTTTTTTCCTGATTAATGTTTAAGGCTCACTTTCTTAATGTGAGCCACTTTTAAGACATGTGGACTTCAACTCCCAGGATTCCCCAGCATACTAGAAAATCAGGGCATCCACACATCGAAAAATTGCTGAAGAGGAGAAACACTAGTTTACAGCGCTTGATCAACATTCCCAATTTGTTACTCTCCAGATCAAAGGTGGTATTCTGCCAGTTCAAGCAAACCGGTAGCCGTGGCAGTGGGAGGCTCTGCCTACCTGCCCAGACATCATCACAGACTCTCTGAGCATGCGCAGAAGTGCCATGCGTGAGCGAAGCGAGTGTGCACACTCTCAGCTTTGAACTGGTAGCGAAGGTAAGCGGATTTCATGCTTGCTCCAGATCTGTTGCACCCAAAATTTATGTTGCTAAGGAACACAGCAGTTACCATATTTTTCAGAGTATAAGACACACCTTTTTCCCTCAAAAAAAGAAGCTGAGAATCTGGATGCATCTTATACATCAAATACAGCATTTTTTTGCCTCCTGAAGCCCCGTCTGTTCATCAAAATGGCCCTGCATAGGTTGTAGGAGCTCCTGGGGGCTGGGGAGGACAGAAATGAGCAAAAAACAGGGTGTTTTTTGCTCAATTTCTCTTCCCCCCTTCCCAGCCCCCAGGAGCATTCTATAAGCCTCCATAAGGCTATCCATGGAATTTTCTTGACAAAAATATGGGCCTGTTTTCACGAAAAACAGACTTTTTTTCTCATTTTTGTCCCCCACCCCCCCAGGAGCACTCTGCAAGCCCCCCTAAGGCTAATCATGCCTTTTTT